GTTGGGCGAACAGCAGTACTGCAGCCATGATTATATTATATTATATTATATTATATTATATTATATTATATTATATTATATTATATTATATTATATTATATTATATTATATTATATTATATTATATTATATTATATTATATTATATTATATTATATTATATTATATTATATTATATTATATCATATTATATTATATTATATTATATTATATTATATTATATTATATTTGTGAAACTGAACTGTTGATTTGAGAAGTGGAGCTGTGTGCTGGGAGGAGCAGGTGGAAGCAGTTGCGCTGATTAGGGGGCGTGGCTTCAGGAGTGATTGAGCGGAGGTGTACGTTTCCACTGCAGAGGAGCAGACTGACATGGTGACCAGGCCGTTCACGTCGGTGAGGCAGTGTGCAGACTGTGACACTGGGTCAGTTTGTATTTTACTTCTTCTTTATGGAGAAAGGACATGTTTTTTTTCCTGTCCCTGAAGTACTCTCTGGATCAGAACTTTTTTTTCCATTTTACTCTATGTCTTTTTAAATCTTTTTTGCTCAAGTATCAATGTTCTCCTTGCTCATTTTTAATTGCTGCCAACTTGTGAATTAAACATGTTACTACAGACATCGGGGGAACAATATTAATATGCATGAAGTAGCGTAAAATGTCCCTTTAAATGGTAATGAGCCCCTGTGTACTCTGCCCATTTTTCCAGAGGGGGAAAAAAAGACCTTAAGGATGGCTTCACGTGACCATGGCAACTGTTGAGGAGTGAGAGAGCTGGCTGCCAGTAGGACTGCACAGTCTGAAAGGGCTAATGTGCAATCAAGTGTTTTGGTTTTTTTTGTTGGATCTGCACAGGAAGTGTGGCGTATGACATTCTGACAGGTATGGTATACTGTTATGGTATACCAGTAAATCAATCAATCCATATATATTTGAGCCAGTGGAACAAGAAGTGGAGAGCCAAGAATGTTCCCAAACTTTTTATCTGGGGATCCATATTTTAAAAGTCACAAATCTTTCATGACCCAAGTCAATAGTCATTATTCTAATGTAATCTCCTGGGAAACGTGATGCGAGACGACCCAAAAAACAAAACAAAATTCTTTTGACCCACCTGAGGGTCGTGACCCAGTCTTTGGGAAACAATGGAATAATGAATGTTCTCCAGCCTCCCTGTGTTGTTAGAGATAACAACCTCATTCTAGTCCAGTGAGCTTAGCTTTTGGGTTCTTCATGACAGCAGGCTGCCCATAATTGTAGCAGATGATAATAATCAGTATAATAATCACCCATATTATTGTTGTTGCTCTCCTAAGGCGTCTGTTAGCTACAGTCTTAAACAGTGCTTATGGTAAATGTCAGTTCTTACGACATATTCCTAGTCCCGATGAGTAAGCGAAGAACATCACACTTCAGACTTTATCAACTAAGAAAGACCTCAATATGCATGACAAAAACTTTCAAGTGTGGAAACCATCTCACTGCCCAGGACAACTCTCTGGGCTGCAGCCAACATGGACCAGATTGTATTTTTTTTGAGCAACATAATTAAAAAAGAAAAAGAAAAACAGAACTCTTTATCCTTGACCGTGACCTGGATGACTGAGAATCTTCATACCATATAATTAAAAATAAAACCCCCGCAAAATGTCACACAGTGACCTGAGATTGCCTGACCTTCCTTGAATCTGCAGCTTGAATTGGTCAGAGTGGTTGGCCAGAGGGAGACTCCACTCCCTGCATGCCTTTCAGCAGGTGTGTTTGCTCTCACTCTCAGGACTTCAGAAATCACACAGCTGTGGACACAGATCACAGGCACCCCGCTGCAGGAGTGTGAGATCTCGTCTCCTACACAGATGTTCACCTTTAAACCTCTGGCCCCAGATTTTGAGATTTTTTTTAAATTCCCGTCTGGTATCAGCAGTGGTGTGATGGGAGTAGCGGACACGTGCTCAGAGCTGACGAGTGAGATTTTGTGAGACTTTGTTAGAGACGCTTAATTGTGAAACGCAGTAACGAAAGTAAATAAGTAGTACGTTTAAAGAAAGCTAAGGGTTCACCTATTTCAACAGTGTCGTTCATGTGTATGAATTTAACTTAAATAACAGTAACGTCACCCTTTAAAATGAGTGGAACACATCCAAATTCTAATATTGTTTGGTTTGAAAAACAAAAGAAAAAATATTTTTAAAAAGTTAACCACACAGTATTGTGTGTACATATTCTTTAGCTATGTTCCAAAAACTTTTAATAATATTTGCCTTGGAGGATTTTTTTAATTTGACCCAAAATTTCCCATTTTTGTCCAATTCATTAAATAAAACAACATTAAACTTTTTTTTTTAAATAGCAAAGTATCTTTAGTGAAAAACATTAAATATAATAAGATAATTTTCATAAATTTTAATAATTTAAAAAAAATCTTTTTTGAAGTCATGGCCAGCAGAACCCTAATAGAAGCTATATACAGATTCTCTATTCTTGCGTTAGGCACAGCCGTGTAAACATGTAATGAAGTGATGATGCAATGTTACAGCCTCAAACACCCATCATGTGTGACAGGATGGACTGTATTCACCTACACACTCGTGTTGGTGTGTTTAAACGTCGTACCGTTGTATTTCCCTGCAGTACGACACATTTCTCCTGGACCTACATGCAGCCCTGTGCCTGTCAGTGTAATTACATCCCATATCAGGATGCGTGCTCTCTGTGATCACTCCCTTCATTCTCACACAGTTCTTTCCTGCCTCAATATTTACGACTTGGCTTCTGGTCTCGGTCCAGTTTTACTTTCCCTCCTGAGTTTGGCCAAAAAACCCATGTGTTCCACTTTAAACACTGATAGATTTATACTGGCAACTGTGATGTCTCCGGACGTCAGGGAACAGACATCGGTGTCAACTTCTTCTAGAATTACTGGAGAAACCTTTTCATTTTTTTTTTGTTTTACATAAAATATGACCAGGTTTGGCTAAAGATCATTCACGCTGCCAATATTTATTGACTACACCCTGTGTTTTTCCTTTCTACTGCAATCTTCAGCATTGACAGCTCATTAGATGACATCATGGGATCGAGGAGTGACATGAAAAAAGCAAATCTTTCAGACCACTCCATGACCATTTCCCAGTCTTTTGGGGAATCCAAAGGGAATGGTTTATTAGAGGAATGTGAAAGGAAACTGATTAAAATGTTAATTTATTTTTATTTTTTGCCTTTGCCATGATAAACTGAGGAACTTTTTATTTTTTATATTTTATTAATTTTCATGATCTACCTATTGGGCAACTCTTCTTTACAGCATGAGGTTTGTTTTTGTCATTAACATTCAGAAAAGGAGTGCTGATAGTAGACTAGACATGTTTCCCGTCTACATCACTTTAAGAATGCACATACTCATCTCGAACGTCTTGTTCAATTTGTTTTGAACAAATGAATTGCCTGTTATAAAAATGCAGATGTCAATCCACTTCAGACAGCAATGATGAAACCACATGTTGATTCCTTCTCAGTCAACTGAAGAGTCTCGTTCTGTGCTCGGGGTGGCCAACCAATCAGAACGCTGCGTTCCGATGTGGTATCTAACATTTACATAACTTTTCAAATGTTGGGACATTTTTGACAAGGACAGTGTGAGGAGAAGACTTGGTGACTCTCACCTGATCCAGAACCTGTTCTATTGACTGCAGAGATCTCCACATTATTAGTATTTGTTTAGTCATCGGAGGTGAATACAATCCAAAGTCTTAGTGAATTGAATTGTTTTTGTGACGATCAAAACCATTTCTTTCATTCTTCAGAAGTAAAAAAAAAACAAACATCTCATTCGATTTTAAATTGGATTTTGTCCTTCGTTCATTTCAATTTCAGACTCGGATCAAAATGACAAAGCGGAAAAAATAGGCTGTTTTGACTTCAACATTTAATTTGTCGAGTCATACAGATTCACTAAACCCTCGGTGTTTTGTAAGATAACTGATATTTTCCTGTTCACGTGCTATAAATGTGAGAGTTTACAGTGAGCATTTGATACTTAGTCATATGTAATGTTTCAAAGGAACCTAAATGTGTTTAATATGCACAAAAAATCTTGTCAAAAATGTGGTGTGTTCAAATATGAAAGGCAGAGTCATTTTAGGTTGAATCATCAGGTTTAGTCATTTGTAATAAAAATGTTTCATTCAATTGTTAATTTGCATTTAATGTTAGTGGTTGTAACTCCACCAAATCAGTGAGGTTTTGAACTTTTTGGTGTGTGTGTGTGTGTGTGTGCAGATTCCTGTTCTGATGAGCTGCACACCTGAAGCCGGTTCCTTCTAATCAACAGCAGGAGGATAAACGCTCCAGCTCCACAGGAAGTCAGTGTCTAATCCTGCGGTACAGAGTGAATCATAGAGAGGTCGTAGAGGTCAGGCTCAGTATGTTTGACTTCAGTGGTGCTCGTCACTGGAGTCAGTGTCGGTGAGCAACAAACGTCCAAAAACTACTACGTGCTAATAGTATGACGCAGTGTGTATTTTAGTTTAAATCATCAGGTTTAACCTAATCCAGATGACCTAATCCCTTTGAATATGAGTGTAATGACATTGTTAACACATTTCTTTTTATAAGTTGCACATATGAAGTTGAAGTTGTAACTTCCAATTTCCGTTGTAAACTTTTTCTGACAGTTTCCAAGCACCACGTTCTTGCCGAACAAGAAACAATCAGACGACGTGATGATATGTTCTGTTTTCTCCATGTACTACCACTTGTAAATAATACATGGCTTCTCGAATAACTGTTATTGTATTATTAATATGAATAGATAGGAAGAAGAATAATTATTAATAAATTATTACCCAAATCATATCTTAAAGCAGGGGTGTCAAACTCATTTCCACCAGGGGGCCACATCAGCAGTACAGTTACCCTTGAAGGGCAGGTTGTAAATGGAAGACTGTATAGATCAGAGGTTCCCAACCCACGGTCTGTGGACCAGTACCAGTCCAGAGGTCATTTGGTACCGGGCTGCAGTGGAACATAATAAAAAAATGTACTTAATTTTTAACTAATTTACTTCATTCAAAGAAAATCCCGTTATTCATTTACTTTCTTTATTTTAAAAAGATCTGGTAATATTTTAAAAATATAGGTCATTCAGACTCTGATACTAACAGGATAGAAGTCTAATAGTTTTTTTTTCTGAAAATGTATTGATCCTTCAATCGTGTCTGTAGTAACTGGTGGTACTGGCTGACCAGTCCTTGGAACAACAAAGGTTAGGGACCACTGGTAAAGATGTAGCTACTCCATAACTATTATATTTGATTGATTATAAAAAAAAAACTTTTAATTTTCAGGTTAACAAACTCTGCTGCATGGACGCCCTTTGAATGTGAGTGTAATGACATTGTTAACACGTTACTTTTTATAAGTTTATGAAGTTGATGTTGTAACTTCCAATTTCCGTTGTATACCACGTTCTTGCCGAACAAGAAACAATCAGACGACGTGATGATATGTTCTGTTTTCTCCATGTACTACCACTTGTAAATAATACATGGCTTCTCGAATAACTGTTATTGTATTATTAATATGAATAGATAGGAAGAAGAATAATTATTAATAAATTATTACCCAAATCATATCTTAAAGCAGGGGTGTCAAACTCATTTCCACCAGGGGGCCACATCAGCAGTACAGTTACCCTTGAAGGGCAGGTTGTAAATGGAAGACTGTATAGATCAGAGGTTCCCAACCCACGGTCTGTGGACCAGTACCAGTCCAGAGGTCATTTGGTACCGGGCTGCAGTGGAACATAATAAAAAAATGTACTTAATTTTTAACTAATTTACTTCATTCAAAGAAAATCCCGTTATTCATTTACTTTCTTTATTTTAAAAAGATCTGGTAATATTTTAAAAATATAGGTCATTCAGACTCTGATACTAACAGGATAGAAGTCTAATAGTTTTTTTTTCTGAAAATGTATTGATCCTTCAATCGTGTCTGTAGTAACTGGTGGTACTGGCTGACCAGTCCTTGGAACAACAAAGGTTAGGGACCACTGGTAAAGATGTAGCTACTCCATAACTATTATATTTGATTGATTATAAAAAAAAAACTTTTAATTTTCAGGTTAACAAACTCTGCTGCATGGACTTTACTAAATGCTTTTTAAAACTCCCGCGGGGCACACAAAACGGCTTGGCGGGCCACATTTGGCCCCCCGGGCCTTGAGTTTGACACGTATGTCTTAAAGCATGTCTTGTTATGCAACACATTTGGTGCTAATTATTATAATAATTTTGATATTTTCATTTACCACACATTCACTGTACATTGTGATGCAGTGAAAGACTCACAGAAATAAATCAGAGATGGTTAGAAAAATGTTCTGTTTTGAAACAACCGGTTAACGGCAAGAGTCCATCTGTGTGGAAAATGACCAAAAAAACTAGAGCATGATAGAAGTTGGCAAGACGTCACATTACTAGGAAATCTACACCAACCATATAAAAGTTTGTATAAAAAAAACATTGGAGTGGAAATGATGTACAACAAACAGTACGCTTCTCATTATCTCACTTCTCATATTTAATCCATTAGCCGTAGATGCTGAGTCAGACGGCCGAGTGGGTGAGTCGGGGGATGGTTGCATGTGAGGGACAGGGGTGGTGCTGCTGGACTTACATGTAAGTGAAGGATCTGGATCACATTTAAAACACATGGTAGTGATCACCTAGTGGCCGGCGGCTACAGAGGAGACAGTTGTCTGTTGTAGGACATGTCCACCTCGGTTTAATACCGGACATGCAGTACTAGAATATCCCTCCGCCTCCTCATGTACTTTCACAGCATGAAGGATTTTTTTGTCTTCTTTGGTGAAATGTACAGGTATTCCAAGATGGCCGCCTCTGATGTAATGTACAATGGGTGGTTATGAAAACTAAATTCTGATTCTAATTTTACCATTATGTTACAATGGTAGATTGAAATGGCAATAATGGTTCATTATAAATACAGTCGCGGCTGAGAAGGAAACCTGGAGCCTTTTATGGTGTGGATTATCCAGAGGAAGCTGAGAATTAGTCCAATTAAACTTAAACGGCACCGAAATGTCTCACATTCCTGGACTTCCCTTTGACTGAACAGTATTTGCAGACGGGGAATCTTAAACTTCTGACTTCTGGTGTCGTCGTCGTCAACTCCACCAAAGCCTCGGTAGTAAAAGCTAAATGCTTTAAAGCCTCTTTAGCATTCTCCATTTGGTCCGTCCGTGTCTGAGTGTTCTGGGACATCTGGCTCAGGGCGCACTCACACTCACTTTGCAGCTGCAAGTTAAGGAGTGTGTGTGTGTTTGTGTGTGTTTGTGTGTGTGTGTGTGTGTTACGCAAACCCACACTGAGAGTACCAAAAGTGCGTGTGTGGTCTGTGGGACTCAGCTGGTCGGGGAAACAGAGTCAGAGAGGCAGTCGGTTCTAAGTGCTTTAAACAGATCGGGGTTCTTCCTCCGACCGGCTCTCAGAACAGGCGGGCAGAGTCAAGGGACGAGGATGAAGATGAAACGGAGCCTGTGCACACTCTCCTGCCTGGTTACTTTAGTGGTGGAGCTGAGCTGGATTAACATGGGCCACAGCATGCACCGAGAGGGAGGGAATAGGGTAAGTGCAGCAGAAAAAGTTTGTGTCAGTAAAGTGCCAGAGTTACTGCTCGTTTTGTCAGAGAGTACAAAAATAAGATGTTTGCTAACTTCAATTTGAATTGATGGATTTTGATTGCTTGTTTTTTTTTTTTTTTACATTGGTTACGGTTTAGTATGGACGGAATAAGCTGATAAAACTATTAATCTAATCATTTAGTTGTTTTTTTTTTTATATTAGGTGTTTGATAAAATCATATAAAATAATAAATTATTCACAACCAGAATTTATATTCTGGGTTCTCCATGTCACAACATCCAGAAATCAACGTGACTGTAAGTCTAACTATTAACGCTCGACTAAAATCTAGACCTGTTCAATTTTAAAATAATGTTTAGTGACATTAAAGCGGATTTTATGAAGATTTTGAACAAACACTCTTCCACACTGATCCCGCCCCTCCCCCACAACAGGTTATTCCTAAGTCTTTACCAATTCCTCTGCATACAACCAATAATGACACCAACTGATGTGACGCAGCAACATCCTGAACAGAGAAGGGGTGGCCCCTATACATATGTAATGGCAAATTAAAATTATTTCTTTAAAGATTTTTGATTTTTTTTTTTAATATTTCTATATACCGGACCTCAAATCCAACATCACTGCTAACAAATGTGGAATCACATGACTGTTATGCACCAGCGATGGGACAGCATAACCTCACCATCTTTACCGCTCCTGTACATCATGTTTTGCCTTTCCCAGGAACTTTCTCCTTCTCTGTTTCTCATTAGCGGGTTTATTCCCTTCAAGGGAATCTGTATGAGAAAACCTCCCTGTTTTTCCCATCTGTTGCTACTATGATATAACTGGAAGCACTGAAACAGCCAAGCCGCCCCACCTTCTCTGCTGCAACACATTGAAGACATCATATGGTTACATCCCCACTGTTGGTTAACGAATCAGTGCGCCATCTTCACGCTACACTCTCATCCCTGAAACCACCTTATAGTTATTATATTCCAAAAAATTATGAACAAATGTAAACATTAATCACATGGATCTTAAATAAGGATAAAAAAATGTTTCTAAAGTGACCTATTTGGAGGTGGCAGTGGTTGCTTAGTGGTTAAGGAAGTGGACTTGGGTCCGGAAGGTTGCAAGTTCGAATCCACCAGCTGCCAAGAGCACCTGAGGTGCTCTGAGTGTGGCACCGTTCCCACACACTGCTCCCCGGGCAGCTCAAAAGACTAGTTTAATATTCAAGGTTTTCAACAAGGTCCTCTTTGGTGACATCTGGTGGTCAGAAGCAGCTTATATCTACAGTACAACTTCAAATTGAATACTTCATTGTTGTTGCCCACTCTGGCAAATGAAGGCTGGATTTTCTAAAAAAACTATGCGGCCTGTAATACATGAACCAGGCAACAACTGAAAAAAAAATGCAAGTCCAAAAACGCAAGAAATGTGTGTCTCTTAGAAACTGTAGAAACACTCAGAACTGGAGCAGTCTCTTGGATGAGAGGTTCAAGGTCTACGAGAATCCAAGACAATACAACTGATTTTTAATTCAGAATTTAAGAGAATTTTCTAACTCCTTTGTGATTTTGCAGGTGATGAATCAATGGGGGAAAAAAGTCCGATCATCTTCCAGTCTGGAAGAGTTGCTCAGGCTCACAGACTTCCCCGACTGGAAGTTGTGGAAGTGTCGTCTGAGGCTGCAGCAACCAGAAGCCTTCTCCTCTCCACCTTCAGCTGGGCCTCACCGTTCTACACGCTACGCAGCTGAATCATACAGTCTGGAAATACTGAAAGGTTTCAAAGAGGATTATCTTCATATCTACAGATCTCTGCACCGAGACGGACACTCATTGTTCTGTCTTGTCTTTAGCCATAGATGACGAGTGGCAGCGGACTCAGTGTATGCCAAGGGAAACGTGCGTGGATGTGGCCAAGGAGCTGAACACTGACCCTTCAATGTTCTTCAAGCCGCCATGTGTGTCGGTTCACAGGTTGGTGTTGTACGATAAATGATAAATGTATGATAAAATATAACATGCAGTTTAAAATGAGCTGGATGAGTGAGAAAAAAAAAACTCTGCAGAGACAATAGGACATACGACACAGGAAATGAATAGGTTATAAGTGGTTATTTTAGCTGTTGACGCATTATTTGCATCATAATAAAATTTAGAAAATTGAAATGTTTGAATGAAAAATGTTTTAATTGAAATTTAGTAATTTAATAATAAGGAAAAAATAGATGAAATTACTAAGTGGACTCACAATATGAATCTTTAACCAAACTCACACCAACTTTGTTGCACTGCCAAAACAGGGGTGACATTTACAAATCTCTTCATTATAATTGGTTTTTGTTTTTAATCAGAAACTACAACTTTTTTCTCAATCCAATCTTAGAGTTTATTCCATTTAAAGAGAGTCTGTTTGTCCTCCTCAGGACAAATGCCTTGGACATTGAATGGCTGCTTAAGTAATAACAAGTAGATATAACCTTCTCAGCTAAATACTTTTGAATCTGCAGGAAATAACTGAAATTCAGGCTCTTTTCTTCCTCAAGGAGAAACCTCATTCATGCCGTGTATCGATTCTTTAAAAAAAGAGTTTGAGAAAAAAAGAGCTCCTCTCTCCAGTCCTTAAATAGTGATTAAATAAAGCAAGGAATATTTTATGTACTGCTACTGTGTTATTTGCTTTCTAAACAAGAATGTACTCTTAACATCCATCCATCCATCCATCCATTTTCATCCGCTTATCCGTTACCGGGTCGCGGGGGCAGCAGTCGCCACCCAAATCACATTGCACCGTACCAACCCCCCAAACCTTCCTGCAGGTGGTGAGTCCACTGGAAGGTACCAACCGCCCTAACTGGGATTTGAACTTGCCCAGGAGGTGAACCCTGGGGTTCCACACCAATGACAGAGACATTGTCTCTGCATATATGCACCACAACTCTTAACATGTTTATATATTTTTATATTTTTATATATACATGTATATTTGTATAGCAATGATCTAACCTACATTTAATCATGTGACCCACTTCCAGCAACATTTCTAATGCAAGAATCAATACATATACATATAACTATATATAAACATATACATACATATAAATATGTATATGTTTCAAAATGCCTGTTGTATTCAAAAGGTATTAAGTAATCTAAAATATTTCATGGAAATATTGCTGCATCATGCATAAATATAAACATATATACATATATATATATATATATATTAGAGGTATTGTAGTAGATTTGTTAGAAGTATTGTAGTAGTTTTTTTCGAGGTATTGTAATAGATTTTTTAGAGGTATTGTAATAGTTTTTTAGAGGTATTGTAGTAGATTTGTTAGAAGTATTGTAGTAGTTTTTTTCGAGGTATTGTAATAGATTTTTTAGAGGTATTGTAGTAGATCTTTTAGAGGTATTGTAATAGATTCTTAGAGGTATTGTAGTAGATTTTTCTTAGTGGTATTGCAGAAGATCTTTTAGAGGTATTGTAATAGATGCTTAGAGGTATTGTAGTAGGTTTTTCTTAGTGGTATTGCAGAAGATCTTTTAGAGGTATTGTAGTAGATTTTCTTAGAGGTATTGTAGTAGAGCAGTGATAATTAAATAGAGGGTGGAATTGTTTGATGTACATTGGCATCATTCTGCCGATATGTTGAAGTGCAATAAAAGTTTAATCAGACTAATCCTCAGAAATTAATTCATGCGAAGAATGCAAAAGCCTTAATTATTGCTATTAATATCATTACTGTTTGCCGTTTATGGTGATCAAACCATAGCTTTACGCTTGTGTCTTATTTTCCCATTAACAGGTGCAGCGGTTGTTGTAATCAGGAGGGAATCACCTGCAGAAACACCACCACTGTATATGTGAATAAAACAGTGAGTGCTACATTCAAGGACCTTTCCTTAGGGTTGAAGTGCAAACCTCTGTGTCTCAACTCTAGAATTCTGTTTTCCAGGTGCTCAGTGTGATTCCTTTCAAGTTTGTGCCTGAACCTGTGCTGATAAAAGTAGTCAATCACACCGAGTGTAGGTGCATGGAGCCAGCCATAATACGGCGAAATGCTCAGTCTCACAGGAACAGTGGGTGAGTTCATAAAAACCTCACCTCAGCCCTGTTTGTCGCCCTGAATTAGTCGTGATATTTGTATAATCCGTGTGTCAGCAGCTGCTCTTTAATGAGCCAGCACTCAGCCACGGAAGATTCCAGGAAACTGTGTGCCACTGGGTGGATCTGGGATTGTTCTACTGAGAGATGCATACCTTACCCTTCCAGTGCATCAGGTAGTCTACATACTAATTATTTTACTCTTCACTGATTACAGTAAACATATATGTAAAAGCTTTGGTAAATGACTGCATGGTGTTGTTATGATGAACCTACTTCCTTACCTTCTAGAATTTCCACTGAGTTCATGGATGCCCGACTGTGAAATAGACGAGGAGCGGTGCCACTGTCTTCCTAGTCCTGCGTCAACGTTGCAACCGGAAACAGCCAACTGCCAGCTCAACTCCTCTGAGTGTGCTCACAGGCAACTTCACTTTGATGAGACCTCATGCAGGTAGGGCGATTCGTAGAAGCTGAAACAGTTCGAATAAGGTCTAGTGATGGTGGAAACGGAAAGATAAGACAGAAAGATCAACCGCTTTAGTAACATAAGAGAAACCTCTCTGCTATACAAAGGCAACAACAGGAAAACCTATAGATTTACCTATGGACGTCAATAATTCTTTCATACATTATGAACTCGTAAAAACCGTTTTTTCCTGTTTTCTCATTTTATTCTGTCTAAACTTCCGTCTCTACTGTTTTACAGATGCATATTGCCCAGATAAAGGACTGGAGGTAATAAATAACCACGGCAACCTGCCAAAAGTAAGGTTGGACACAGAGAAGAAATGATCCATAATTTATTCACTATCCTATTTATGCCGATCACTTTAACAACTGTAGATGACATTAACTCACAAGATGAGGTTAATTGACTGTTTTATTATTATTAATCTATGTTGAAAATCAAAAAGCGATTTACGATCTGTTCTTTCTGCACTGTGTATGTAGTTTATGATTAAAAGATTATTTTTCTAATATTAACTTGCTACGATTGACTGACCGTCTGTTCTTCCTGTCATCATCATTTCAGGAATTGCACACTATAGGTAACATATTTTCATAGTTTTTCATCCTTAATATATATATTTATATAGGATATATATACACAGTATACAATGTAACCTCGAAGTACGAGCATAATCTGTTCCAGGACCGAGCTGCTAACTCACATCTCTCATATATCGCTCATATCTCAAATCATTTTTCTCATAAGAAATAACAGAAAAAAAATTAATCCGTTACGGCCCTCTGTGTTTTTAATTTTTTAAATTTTTTAATTGCTATAGAGACATACACACACAGTATACAATGTAACCTCGAAGTACGAGCATAATCTGTTCCAGGACCGAACTGCTAACTCACATCTCTCATATATCGCTCATATCTCAAATCATTTTTCTCATAAGAAATAACTAAAAAGCTCCCTTATTAGTGCTAATAACAACGGGGAAAAAACATGTTTTTAATTGCTGTAGAGACATACACACCAAAATTATAGTATATAAGGATTCCTGTGATATAAAATAAAATAATAAAATTTAATTATGAGTTCTTACCTTCGAGGCTAACTCACATCTCTCATATATCGCTCATATCTCAAATCATTTTTCTCATAAGAAATAACAGAAAAAAAATTAATCCGTTACGGCCCTCTGTGTTTTTAATTTTTTAAATTTTTTAATTGCTATAGAGACATACACACCAAAATTATAGTATATAAGGATTCCTGTGATATAAAATAAAATAATAAAATTTAATTATGAGTTCTTACCTTCGAGACAGACGATACAGTAGCGGCTAATGGCGACATGTGCGGAGGAGGTAGGGAAGAGAGTTGGCCCGTACGTACTTGAGTCCGTAGCGTACCTTACACGTGCACTACGTAACTTACATAAACTTAGAATTAACTAAACTAAACTCAACTTAGCTTACTTATTTTGCTTTATGTGGGTTTTTTTTAATTTCTATTCTTTCTTTAGCGGGCACCACGCTTATATTTATCGACTGTTTCCTGCTTTATTTCCACGGTCATCAGTCGTATCTTCTTCCCACTACCATCTTTACCACTCATTCTCTTAGGACTCGTCACTATTATGACGAATAATGCACATAATGGAGAGAAACTCGCGTAGATAACGCAAACACAATACGGAAGACCCGTGGGAGATGCTTACGGAAGTTGCCGAACACTTGAAGTGAACGAGTGAGGCGGCGTGGGCTGCCACCTAGCGTCGGCGTCTGTAAGCGTGCTCATATCGCAAATATTTACTCAAAGCAAACATTCGCTCGAAGGCTATATATATATATATATGTATATACATATACATCTTTGTCTCCTCCTAATTAACAGTATCCAAATATCACTATACTTTCAAATACAAAAAAGGTTTAAAAACAGGCTTCAAATTCAATTTTTATTATCGTAATTATTCTTGAGCCGTGTGTCATAGACTCTAATAAGCAGGACTATCATTTGTAAATGTGTTTATTTCTCTTTGATCATCAGTGAACACATTGATTTCAGATAACAGTATTCCTATTATATATCCCCTTCACTGTTGACCTTTTTCATTGCATCCCCATGGATTTTCTAACTACCAACAATATGGACAACCAATACACATTAACCTTTCTCCCGGCATATCCGGCATAATTACGTTGTTTGTGACTCATGTGACAACGTCTGCCTTCAGATGTTCAAACCGAGGTCAGGATCAGACGACGTGAGTATGATTTCCTGTGTGACATGACGACATGAAGTCAAATGTCTCTTAATAATGGCACTGAACAACACTGGTAAATCCTCCAGCGGTCCACTGAAGCAGTTGACAGCCTTTACCTTTTCAACCCCTTTGTGTTGTGTTATTCTGTGGAGAAGAAAAAAATGATTTGTGGACGCTCCATTTATTCTAATAGCACACTCGCCAGGCAACAGAAAGCCGGGATAAATTTACCAGAAGTAATAATGTTTTCCGAAGGGACGGTTCTTTTGATGCTGCAGCTGCGAACACCTCATTCTTTCCTAAACCAATCCTTAAAAAAGTGAAAATGTCAAAACCGATCCCGGAGTGACCCTTTTTTTTTCTCGCTTCACAACAACATAGATTTTGTTGGGTTCAACGTTTGGTACTATATAAAATATATGTAGAAGGGAATGTAATTCAGTGTGAAATGCGAAGACACAATAACGTGGAAAATTGTTGATTTCCACTTTCACATCTGTCAGACACTGAGGTCTGATGTAATTTGATGCACCGTCTTCAGACTGTGATTACCAGGAAATAAATGTAGTAGAAAGAGTGACATAATATCTAAAACTGCAGATGAGGTGTAGCATTGTTGCCCAAAGACTGGGTCGCGACCTTGAGGTGGGTCGCAAGAGGTTTTTGGGGGGGGTCGTCTCGCATCATGTTTCCCAGGAGATTACAAATAATGTCTATTGACTATTGAAAAAGTTTGGGAAACACTAAGGTATAGGACTACAGTTTTTCTGGGTTTTGTTTTTGTTCCACTACAGTACACACATTTTATGTTGTACATGTCAAGTTAAAAAAAAAATGAACCATATTCTGTGTTTTACATATGAAACTCAAACTAATTGTAATCACTGAAATAAAAATGACTGACACATGTATTAAAATATGATTATCTGTGCTGCAAAGCAGTGTTTCTGGTTTAAGCCATGACCCAATATTGAATGAACAGATTATATTAAGAGTCCCGAAACATGTATCCCAACAGAGTGAGGTAAAGTGGGGGCATCACCCTGCAAAAACCTTGGTTCTGAATCACTTCACCAACTTTATCCATCCACCAATCATCAACTGTGCTTTAAGCCTTGGTGGCATTTCACACAATTGTCTCCTTCCTGTACGCCAACGGAGGCTTTCAACATCATATTGAGCAGCAATTCCTCATCTGCAGACTGACCTTTATACAGACTGTGTAAAACGCAGAGGAGTTGGATGTCATTTTTTTTCTTTTTATTTATTTATTTTTTTTCCCTGGAGAAGCAATTTGGTGTAATCACAAGGTGTGATTCGTATCTGCGATAAAGCCCCCACCGTGCTCCTAGACGTGCATGGAGGTACACATTGATGGATCGCGGAACCTGGACCTTCTGACCTTTTTTCTTTTCGACTGATGTCTATATCAGCTTCGGCGCATCTCCTACATGGGGGTGTTGAACCAAAATGTTTGTCTGAAGTTAAATGTCATGAATTGAACTTCTCACGATTTACGTACTCGCTGTAAAACCTGGGCCAGTTCAGTTGAACATAACACTGATATACTAGCAGGAATTGAAAAAAGACACAAATGAGCATCTTCTGCAGCTCTGAGACATTGCCTCTGGGCCAAAGCGCCACTTTATGTAACGTTTAAATGCATATTTAAAACATGGTCTTATTGTTTACAGCAGTTACTCTTGTCAAAGTGTGTGTGCAACGGATGGAGAGAGAATAATGAAAAATAGTTTAAAAAAAAGTTAACCGTCAGTTAAATCAAACTCATACATCCTTATCCTTGAACATGACTTTTAATGATGTTTAATAAACTAGACTTTCAATATAATCACCTTCTGATTATAATGCACTTATTCGTTTTCATCAGCAGCTGATTTGAGCTTCAGTTTCTCACATCTTACTCTAATGAAAGACAGTAAGTAAAATACAATATATGATGTTCCTATTAGGTACTTATTATGTAAGTGTTATGAACTGAATCTGCCAGTAGACTTGCATCATAAATAAACAGTTGCAGTATTTTTAGCTGAGTGTAAACACTATGATCCTTCTGTCGTTTCAATGTTTCTGGGAGGTGCAAAGGAAATGGGATTAACAAAATCCCAAACATGGAAACAGACGGGCGTGAGAAGATGCTAAAACCCAAAGGTTCGCACTGCATTTAGATTCACTCTACATGTGGTTCACTGTTACCACAGGAAAACCTGTAGAGACCAGACATCCAAGGCAACTTCGCATTTCATAAAAAAAAATTTATAAAAAATCACAAACAACAACAAGTTATTCCACAAATGTTCGGTACAATATTTTATTTATTATAGAAAAAAACATACATCTGAAGCACAACGATTGGGCTGGTACATAGAAGCAGATAATTCCCCACAGAAACGTCTTCACTGTTGTCCCAGAAAACATGAATGATCAGTGTTTCAGGAGGATTTCTTTGATTCATCCTTGAGAGTTTGTATAAGGCTACAGTTTTTACCATTTAGAAACAAACTCATGTTTTAATAATTATCCACAGCATAGGAAGCTATTACAATTCCACATGGGTCAAAGACACACAATAAACACAATAATACCGAAAGGAATTTTATCAATAGATATTTTAAATATTTACATACAGGCAATATACTTTGTGACTAGCACAACTTGTTTTTTTGTTGTTTTTTTTTTTCATTTGCCTTAATAATGACCAGTGTTCTCTGCAGTGTTGGAATTTCCTTTGTGTTGATACATCAATGTTACGACTGTCCAATCACCATGTCCGTTTTATCTTCCGGGGGGGATTTTACTGCATTCAATCATTTTTATTATGTCTGTGAATATTCTTATATTTGAAGAGATTAAAAATAAAGTAAAGAGTGAAAAGGAAAAGGAAAGAAAAACAAACAAAAAAAATACACTGAACAGGTTCAGAGAAGGACAGTACAAAAAAGGAGAGGGAGAACAAGAGAAAGTTTTTCTGTAACATAATAGTCAAGGTTCTGTGAACCTGAAGAACAATCACAGCCTTTACACTAAACCTTTTCCCTTTGTCAGTTGACAGTGGCTACTTAACCAATATATAGGAGAGAATTTTGTAAATAAAAAATGTGAAGGTAAAAATGTTCATGGACATGTCATTTAAAAACTATAACTGACATTGGTAATAATAATAATATGTTGCATTTTATTGACCCCATATTTGGGAAACTCTTATGTCCAC